CCCCCCCCCCGGCGCCCTACTTACCGGCACAGAGCCTGGGTTCAGCTCCTTGCAGCAGTAAGCGGGTACTGCCCAAATCACCAAATTTTCCTCCACATTTTTTCCAAATTGATTGGGAGGCTTCGAATCAATTTGGACCTGTTTATTGATTTCTTGATTCAGTTTGGAGATTCGGCCGCTGAATTGGGCTGAATCTCCTCCGAATCGACTCAGCACTTGAAGCTTTGCACAGGCCAAAGCACAATTTGAGTTGCAGCTAGCAACGGAGGTGAAGGGTAATAAGAAGGGTTTCTACAAATATGTCAGCAACAAGAGGAAGATCAGGGAAAATGTGGGTCCTTTACTAAACGGGGGAGGCAACCTAGTGACAGATGAGGTGGAAAAGGCTGAAGTACTCAATGCCTTTTTCAACTCAGTCTTCACAGGCAAGGTCAGCTCCCAGACTACTGCACACCTAGCAGCACAGTTTGGGAAAGAGGTGAGCAGCCAACAGTAGCAAAAGAATGGGTTAGGGACTATTTAGAAAAGCTGGACATATACAAGTCCTTGGTGCCTGATGTGATATACTCAAGGATGCTGAGGGAGTTGGCTGATATGATTGCAGAGCCACTGGCCATCGTCTTTAAAAACTCATGGCAATCGGGAGAGATCCTGGATGATTGGAAAAAGGCAAATATAGTGCCCATCTTTAAGAAAGGGAAGAAGGAGGATCCAGGTAACTACAGGCTGGTCAGCCTCACCTCAGCCTCTGGAAAAAGCATGGAGCCAGGTCCTCAAGCAATCCATTTCTAAGTACTTGGAAGAGGAAAAGGTGATTAGGAACAGTTAGCCTGGATTCCCCAAGGGCAAGTTATGCCTGACCAACCTGACTGCCTTCTATGATAAAATAACTGACTGTGGATGTGGGGAGAACAGTGGACATGATACACCTTGACTTTAGCAGGGATTTTGATATGGTCTCCCACAATATTCTCTCTAGCAAGCTAAGGAAGTCTGGGTTGGATAAATGGGCTGTAAGGTGGATAGAAAACTGGATGGATCAATGGGCTTAGAGGGTAGAAGTCAATAGCTCAATGTCTAGTTGGCAGCCAGTGTCAAGTGGAGTGCCTCAGGCATTGGTCCTGGGGCCAGTTTTGTTCAATATCTTTATCAATAACCTGAAAGATGGGATGGAGTGTACCCTCGGCAAGTATGCAGATGACACCAAACTGTGGGGAGTAGTGGATATGCTGGAGGGTAGGACTAGCTTCAGAGAGACCCAGACAAATTGGAGGATTGGGCCAAAAGAAATCTCATGAGGTTCAATAAGGACAAGTGCAAAGTCCTACACTTAGTGTGGAACAGTCCCATACAGCGGTACAGGCTGGGGACCAATTGGCTAAACAGCAGCTTTGCAGAAAAGGACCTGGGGGTTACAATGGACAGTAAGATGAATATGTGCCAACAGTGTGCCCTTGTTGTCAAGAAGGCTAATGGCATACTGGGCTGCATTAGGAGGAGCATTGCCAGCAGATCAAGGGAAGTGATTCTTCCCCTCTATTTGGCACTCATGTGGCCACATCTGGAGTCCCATGTCCAGTTTTCGGCCCCCCCACTACAGAAAGGATGTGGACAAATTGGAGAGGGTGCAGTGGAAGGCAGTGAAAATGGTTAGGGGACTGAGGCACATGACTTCTGAGGAGAGGCTGAGGAAACTCAGCTTATTCAGTCTGGAGAAGAGAAGACTGGGGGAAAATTTAATAGCAGTCTTCAACTACATGAAGGGTGGTTCCAAAGAGGATGAAACTAGACTGTTCTCAGTGGTGGCAAATAACAAGAGCAAGGAGCAATGGGCTCAAGCTGAAGCAAGGGAAATTTAGGCTAGATATTAGGAAGAACTTTCCTACTAGGAGGGTAGTAAAGCACTGGAACAGGCTACCCAGAGAGGTGGTGGAATCTCCATCCTTGGAGGGTTTTAAGACCCAGCTAGACAAAACTTTGGCTGGGATGCTGCTGCTGTGAGCAGGGAGTTGGACTAGATGATTTCATGAGGTTCCTTGCAACTCTCATTTTCTATGATTCTATTGTACTTGAGGCTCCTTCCTAACGCAGTGAGAACTTGCTCAGTTATAGGCTATAAAAAGAATATAAATAACTCAATAGTATTAACTGATTTTTATTTTTCACCAGCTGTATTTTCAACCACTCATTGTTCCCAGCATTAAAAGAATTTGTTTCCATTGGAGATGTACTAATACCCTTTTCCAACTTTCCAATTTGCAGGTACTGGTAAGATTTGTGTACTCTGTCAGCAAGGGTTACAGGAAGATTACTTACCACAACTGGCGCCATGGCTTCAATGTTGCACAAACCATGTTCACGCTTTTAATGGTATTCTACTACTGCTCCTATGTTTTTCTCTTAGTTTTATGGTATCATTTTGTTTACAGTGTGTTTTATGTAATTAATAGAAGTATCTCTTAGATGTCCATAAAAATATCTACAAGCATTCCTTTGTCTTTGTAAAAGCCTTATTTCAGTAATAGTATAAAACATATCCATCTCTAGTACAGTTAATGCTAAGGAAGTGAATCTTGGTCTCCACTGAGGCACTGGAGGGGAGCAAAACTGTTCTCTCTTAGCAGGTCCTAGGGATGGAACTACTCCAAAGACAAATGGAAAAGCAGGACCAACACATATTGGTTGGTCCCAGGCAAAGCACTTGCTCCTGAGGCAGCAGAGCAGGCCCCCTCCTTAGGCATGATACAGAAAAGATTATGAATCATGCTTCTCCCTTGGGGTGACAAAGCTTCATATGGACCCATGCCCAAAGAAACTTGGAGCATCTTTGCCTGAGTTTTGTGCTCTGACTCTAATTGAATCCTTGTCTTCTTGTTCTGAAGTAATGTTAACAAGATAGCCCAATGCTATCTTGGGTTAAGTAACTTTAGAAGACCTACAAAGGAGGATGCATGAGATACATGTAGTACCCACACACACCTGCTCTAATTCTGAAACACCTGTTCTGGTTTCCCCTGTACCTTTTCCAAGTTCTTGCTAACTCCAGTGCACTGTATATTTGGCTTCATTAAAATGTCACATTTTAGTTCTTCATGTTTAATATAACACATTTCAAACAGAGCAGCCACACTCTGATGTATTTTTCCTTTGGTGATACTAACAAAACTCTGCAATTCTCTTCTTCTAGACTGGCAAATTGAAGCGTTACTATACAGACCTTGAAGCCCTTGCTATGGTAACTGCAGGTTTATGCCATGACATTGATCACAGAGGAACCAACAACCTTTATCAGATGAAGTAGGCACTTTTTTATTGTTTTCAATAATTATATCCAATGTTTGCATGCAGGGTGGGGGGTGGTTGCAGAGGGATCAAACTAGGTTCAGAACAGCTCCTGATTCAGGGTGAAGGCAGAGAACAGCATCCATTGTAAGCTGTCACAGTCTGATGTGATTTAACTGGTGAGGAAAGCTGTAGTTCTCTTGTGCTCTTTAGGCTACTGGAGGCCACCAGTAATAGGAGTTGGCTCAAGCTGTCTGTCAAGACAGATCTTTGAGCCATGGAGACATTCTCCCAAAATGCATGGTCCCAAGCACAAGAGCACATTTATGCCCACTAAGTTGGCCCACATGATATGACATCACTGGTTAGCCAGGCCTCTTTTAAATGATTAATGTACTCTCAGGTCAGGACACCTGCTCTCAGCTGCTTGCTGGCTGTGCTGCCCAGCTGTTCTCATATACCCAAGAGATCTCGGTGGTTAATGAAACAGCATGTGGATGCTGCTTGGGGAGCTGGTGGTTGGTTTTTTTCCCTCATACACATGCACACAGCTTTTGTACAACAGCAAAGACTCTCTTAGGATTTAGCTGCCTTAGGATGTGAATGACAGATCTTAACACTAGGACTGCACAGACGTTCAGTTACAGCCTAGGAAAATGGGCAAGAGCTGATGCTTTTCCTATCCTTTTTTGACACATCTTTTTGAAATCACTTAAGTGAAAAATAAAACCAAAAGACCCTAACTGTGCTGTGTTATAAGGGTTCGCTTGTAAATGAGTTTATAAGTAGTTAATAAAAATTTTAAAAGATAAGACTGTTCATTATTAGAAAAATTTAAGATTGTTATTAAAACATTACTCATTCCACCTCTACAAACTAAGCTGAACCTGAAAACAAAGTGCAACTTACCTAAATAAGACACCGCTGCAACACTTCCTTGCTCTTTAGTGTTGTACTAATTATGTTTTTCACTTATATAACCAGATCTCAACATCCTTTAGCGAAACTTCATGGATCATCAATTCTGGAGAGACACCACTTGGAATTTGGAAAGTTCTTGCTGGCGGAAGAGGTTTGTAACATATACAAACATAGGGATCCATCCAATTTGCTCTCAATTCCATTTGAAGCAAGATAATATCGAGCTGCAGGGGCTTGGCCCAGTATTTTTCTTTGGCTTGGATTTTGTGGGTGGGAGAGATTTCACTCACATCATAGTTTTCTCAGCTTTCGATTTAAATAAACCCAAAAGTCAAAGTAAGGTTTGGTTAAAATGGCAGAGTTTCTTTTGCCTGTGTGCTGAAGCCAAGTAGAAATAAAAATTACATCTGCTTGCCTTATAAAGAACTGTCCTATATTCAATGCCTTTTCAGTGCCCAGTACAGTGAATCCTTTTCATGTTCTACAATAATCTGCAGCAAATTGGCCCTGACATGCAATGATTTCTTTATGAGTCTTCTCCATCAACCTAGCCCAACACTCATGTAGTTTATCTGCCTACTACTTTCCATCATTAGAAAAACTTTCTATGTACATGGCATTCTCATAATCCCACTGTGACCCTTCAGGCAGGCACATAGTCCCATTGTGAGGCAGCCAATTGCAGTTCCAGTTACTCAGTTTGTGCATGGAGGACGGTGTGGGGGAAGAAGTGGAGAAGTTACATGACTTGCCCAAAATGTAAGGGGGGGTCTGACAAAATGAATGAAGAACTCTGGTAGCCAACGTTTTTTCAGAACCGATGGATCTCACTGATCAGATTTAATCTTAAAGCCATCCTTCCCCCTGCTGTAGGCAAAATTCTGACAAATTTACTCTATTAATCTTTTACTTCAGATAAACTCCTATTAGTGCTAGTAGGTACCCAAGTTGATTTCAGGTAGTATGGACAACTCAATGCCCTCTGTAAGAAATGGTGATCTTCCACAGACTTACTAGACATTGGACTGAGCTCTTATCCCTTCCCTATACAACATCACCTGAAATTGTTGAACAGAAACACACATTCTGAGAAATGTAATGTCCAGTAGCATGCAGCAAAGCATCACTGATTGTTGTGAGCTTTATTTTCTTTTAGTCGCTGAATATTTACCAGAATCTCAACAGGAGACAGTATGAGCATGTGCTTAACTTGATGGATATCGCTATCATAGCAACTGACTTGGCACTGTACTTCAAGTAAGTGAGTCCAAATATGAATATGACAGGAACCTTGTCTTAGTATAAAGTGTTATAATGTTCTGCTGCTCCTCAGTATGCAAGACTCCTCTCAAGGGATTCTGTGTCTTCTGGAGACCCATGCAGACCATCAAATGACTATCTGAAAGCAGGTGGATAAAACTTTCTTAAGTAATGAATTTTAAATAATTCCTACTGTTCATATTTATATGGTGCTGAGCTGGGTTTTCTATAATGCTAACAAGATGGTTTTGCCATTTCCTTCATGTTGACAGGGTGAGATTACTTGGACGTTTTACTACTGAGATATTTCAAGCTAATATATATATATTTATTAATGATTATGATCAATCCAGGGCTTTATTAATATTCTTGAGACAAACAGCACAACTTCAAAACAAGATAAGAATAAGCAAATAGTTTATAGTAGCTTAACCACCACCTTCTTCATATATTTAAATTTCCATCAGTAAAAAGTTGACCATTTTTTGCAGTAAGTGAGAGTTGTACTTCTAAGTCACTGAGGCACTTGTGGTAAATACTGTCGTTAACTTACGTTTCTAATTTTCTAAAAATGGCCTGCAAAGCAAAATGTTCACAATACATTCATGAATATGCAGGAAGACTAAGTCATTTACTTGTCATCACTGAAACAAGTTCCTTTAGAAACAATGGTTTTATACTGGTAAAATATAAAATACAGTTTTAGTTGTGGCTAAAAGTATTTATGCAAATACTAGGGCACATGAGTAGGACACTGAAATCAGGCTGTTTGCGTAAGTCAACATACGTATTTGTGTAAGCAACTGAAGGGTTAGAGCCAATATTTTGGAGTTTTGCCTTTGGCATTTTGGTAGAATTCAATTGCATTTCTAATTTCTAATTTAGTTCACAATAAATCTTAATCTGACATTGCATTTCTTTGTTGAGCCAAAGTACAAGTTTGCAAGTTAGAATCACTGGAGTGTTACACTGATTTAAATAGTATTTAAAAATTCCAAGGGTTTATATTAAAAGATTCTAGAGTTTAATGGCCAAACCCTGAGTATGCCAAATATACAGCTCCCTGGAAGCGGCATAACCTGGTTTGCTCAACCAGCAGAGCAACAGCTGCTCTGTGAGCAACAGAAGACTTCTCCTGCTGCCCTTCACCGCTCCCCTTCCCCCCGCCCAACCAATAGTTGACAGAAAGCACATATAGATACACCTATGCTTTTAGCTTTGACCTGGAGCTCCTTTAGCAGCTGGAGCCTCCCAAGGAGGACTGCACCCAGGCTGGCAGACCTGCCATTATGGAGCTATGTGGGGTGGTTAGATGGAGCCGTGTGGAGAGGTAGGCAAAATATGGCCCATGCACCAGATCCAGCACACCAAGGGATTTTGTTTGGCCCGCACCAGGTCCCTCAGCCCCGCATGGCCCAGGCATGGGGGCAGCTTGGGCCTTGGCATGTGCAGCCAGTAGGGCTTTGAGAAGCTTCGGTCACTGATTCAATTCAGTGGAGATTCGATGGCTGAATCTCCGAATCTGAATCAAATCAGGAGACCCTTTAATCTCTGAATCGAATCAGAACCCTCTGAATCAATTCGGAGAGATTCGATGATTCGAAAATAGACACAGCTTTAAATGTTTTTTCTACATACCTCAAGGTACCAGGCGGCTTGTGAATGCTGAGATGCTGGGATGGATGGAGCATCCCATGGGAGCACAGGGGGGTCCCTAGCGCACTTGGTGGCAGACCCAGAAGTGGACCAGAAGCACTTCTGGTTCACTTCCGGGTCCACTGGGGAGTGTGTGGGAGAGCCCCCGGCTCAGCAACTGGTGCCTCCTGGGTCTGGAGGGGGGGCACCTGGGGTCCCCCCCATGGCCAATCACTGAGCCAGGGGGCTCCCCTGTGTGCTTGGCGGCAGGCCCAGAAGTGACCCAGAAGTATTTCCGGTCCACTGCCAACCATGCAGGCCCTCCCCGCCGCCGCCCCCCCACCCCCCCATGCTCCTTTGTGATGCTCCATCCACCCCACCATTGCAGCATTCACGAGCTGTGCCTGGTACCTTGAGGTATGTAGAAAAAGCATTTAAAGATGTGTTTATGAATGAATTGCTGATTCTCTGAATCAGCATCGAATCTTCAGATTTGGATTCAGCTGAATTGAATTGGGACAGTGATCTGAATCAAAGAATTGAATCACTGTCCCCAATTTGGACTCAATCCGAATCCTAAGCGAATACGGCCCATTTTGCACACCCCTAGCAGCCAGTCCCATCACCCTCAGGCATGCAGCAGGACTGGAGTGGGGCAGAGGCTAGACTCACTTCCTGGCAGCCCTGGCAGTGGCAGCGCCTTGCAACTGTTGCTGCCAGTCTCCACTGCCACTGCCAGATCTGGTCCTGCTCACCAGGCACTGTGGCCCAGGCTGTGGTACCAGACAGAGTGGGTGGGCAGGGTCTCTACAGAGCCCATCTGGGACCCACACAGGCAGAGTCCTCAGCTGGGCAGATGGAACTGAGCTGTGGGCCGGCAGGGAGCAGCATCTGGTAGCGGGATGGGTGGGACCAGGGCTGGAATTGGGATCCTGGGGCAGTGACAGCATGGGGCCAGGGCTCAGGGCAGAGCCATGATCCGCTTCCTGCATGTCCCTGCAACAGGCTCTGGTTCTGCAGGCAGGGGCATGCAGGGAGCAGATTGCAGCTCTGCCTCAGGCCCCGGCCTTGCACTGTCATGGCCCCTGTGATCCCGATCCCAGTCCTGCCCTATCCTGTCCATCCCACTCCTGGACGCCGCTCCCTGTCCACCCACAGCCCCATCCCATCTGCCTGGTCAAGTCCCTGTTTGCACAGGTCCCTGCCAGTCTCCATGGAGACCCCAAGACCTCTGGGCAGTGACAGCATGGGGCCAGGACCTGAGAGAGAGCTGAAATCCGCTCCCTACACACCCCTTCTGGCAGAACAGGCACCTGTCACAGGGGCATGCGGAGAGCAGATTGCAGCTCTGCCCCAAGCCCTGGCCCCACACCATCACTGCCCAGCAATTTGGATCCTAACCCTGGCCCCAGCCCTGCCCACCTGTCCCACTCCCAGATCCTAGTTCCTGCCCCTATATAGCCCCATCCCATCCATCCATCCGGCTGAGCACAGGGCAGGGCCACTTAGGGAGTTTTGGTGAGCTGTTGCAGGTGATGGGGGGGGGCCCACATAATTGCCCACCCGTGGGTTAGAAGCTGCTAGAATCTGGAAGCTGGGTATGGCTGCGTGGGATGGGGGGGAGGCAGGTGACAAGAAGCCCTTGGGATATGTACATGCAGTGGAGCTGCCTTTGGTGAACCAAACACAGTGACCACAGTTGTTCAACCAAGGGTCTGTCCTGTGAAATGTTTTTGAAGGATCTTCAAATGAGATCTGTTGATTCCCTATTTAACACACCATTTCCCTGTTATTTTTTAAGAAAGAGAACAATGTTTCAGAAGATTGTTGATGAGTCAGAGAAATATGAGGACAAAAAGGCATGGACTGATTATTTGTCTCTGGAGACTACCAAAAAAGAGGTTGTCATGTAAGTAAAGACAGCCCCTCCTTGATGGGTAAATGGTACAAAAGTGGCCACTATATGTAACAAACAAGCTCCTAAGGGGATCAGACAGGAAGACATAATATGCAATACATGTTACCTAGTGAGGTATATTAAGCTCACATTTCACTTATTAATGGATCTGGGAGCCAGATTGCAGTGGCTTTGTATTCCAGAAAGCTGTTTGAATGGGTATTAAAATGAAATTCCAGCTATCTGTTTAAGATGTGTACATCAGCAAGTAATTAAATAAAAATATGCCAGTATCCAGCTTTTAAATGAAGCAAATAAGATAAAAGTCACTATAGAAAAATTTCATATAAATTTCATGTCTGTGTGCTGCCATTGCACCTCAGAGCATTTGCCATACATCAGAACCCAAATAGCTCTAAGGCAGTGGTGCTCACCCTTCTGGCCTCATGGGCCAGATAAGTGGTGTGGGACGAGTCCGTGGGCCAGATCCAGTATGAGGAACCCTGGTGTGCAGGGCTGATCCACAGGTGCAATCTGGCACACCAGCCTAGTCCTGCTTACTAGATCTGGCTGCAGAGCAACCTTGTACACCAGCCCAACCCCACAAGCCAGATCTAGCTGCAGAATAACCCCATGGGCCAGCGCAATCCACCATGTGGGGCCCTGTCATCCAGCCTGCGGGGTTCCCCCACAGGTCCAGAAATGTTGGTGGCAGAGGAGTGGTGGCAGTGTTCATTGACCCAGCTCTAGAAGCCACAACAATTAATGCTACAACCACTCCCCTGCTGCCAAATTTCTGGACCCGTGGAGAGCCCCATGGGCCAGATGACAGCTCCATGAGCTGAATTTGGCCCACGGGCAGAGACTGAGCGCTACTGCACTTAGGAGACAAGCAAATACAGGACAAAAAGAGGCTTCCTGTCTCAGACACCTCATAATCTAAATAGAAAAGAAGAGAAAATGTGTGGGGGGAATACGGAGAGAAGATACAGATGGGAACACAAAGATACAATGCAAGGTCTCATGGTAGACCATGGTTATTATTCCACTGCAAGCTTCAGTCTAATTGAGTTTTTGTAAACATTACAACAAATGGGACAGTTTTATGTGGAGTAGCTTGCCAGAAGGAGCGCCAGTATGGCAAGGTTTGTATGGCAGTTCCATGTTACTGTGAGTGCCATTCTGTGCTGGCATTTAAGGCATCTTTTTTAACCCAATCCATGGGATTTGAAACAGACGTTGCACTAAAAAAATGGCAAAACTGAAGTTACTACAAACCCTGAAAAGAAAACCAGAAAGCCCAGAGAGTACTAGAAAGGAAAGAGAGAGAACACCAAGTTTATTTTTAAATGCTGTTATTTTACACCAACATGCCCACAAGTGGCTTTTACATAAAACTTTTACTAATTTTTAGATTAAAATTGTTTTAGGGCTATAATGCCCCTGCTTAAAATTCCACTATTATAAAAGCCTTAGTCTGTCTTTCTGTAACGCTTTATTCACACTCTGATCGGTTGTCTGAAACAACCGATCAGAGTGTGAGTGCTTGGACAGGAGCTGGTGGCCGCACCAGCCCCTGAGCCACTGGGGGACTTAGTGCTCTCTCCTTCCTTAATGTTTCACTATAGTCTCTGCTGTATAATTTATGCTCAAAAGTGGCTCAAGTGTCCTAGGACTAGCAAGAATGAAAAAGCTGTATGTAAACCAGTTTCATCATAGGAAATTTTACAGGTTGCAAACCTGGAGCAGAAGCTGGCAGTACACTCAGATGAATTGTATTAAGCCAGTCTGGCTCTCCTTCATTTTTAACATGAGGCAGGGGGGAAGGATATAAAGCAGGAGGTAGCAAAAGGCTGTAGACTGAACACTGATTCCTTTCTGGCTCCATTCTCCAGGGCCATGATGATGACCGCCTGTGATTTGTCTGCTATCACTAAACCCTGGGAAGTCCAGAGTCAGGTCAGTGGCCTCAAAAATTGCTTGCTCCATATAGATGTAATACACTTCAGTGGGTGCATCTACATAAGATGCTACATCACCATAGCTTGTTGCTACAGCGACATAATGTTGCCAGGCATGAACCATGACGTCGACTTTTCTGCACAGTAGCAACAAGCTATTGTGCAGTAGCTCATTGCTACTGCAAAGTTTCTTCTAAAAACAGCTGTGCGGCGTCAAGACTGCGCAGTAAGTCTGCTTAAGCAAGTATTAAATGACTGTGCAGTAACAACTGTGAAGTCCACCGCTCATGTAGATGCAGCCAGTATATTACAACTTGCTGCATTGCCAGCAGTCAGCACTAAGATTTTTCCCTGTCACAATTTCCAGCGATACTGGTAGATAATTATTTGCAGATTGACAAACTACTGGTAAATCCTTCTGGCTGTAATATATTCTCACAAGTTGTGGGGTTGTCAAATCCACAACCCTATGTTACAACGTAAGAGAATTTATTTTGTAAAAGATTTTGATGTCTAGGACTTCAGTAACCAGCTGGATGCTTATTTGCACTTAACACTATAATTTCTTTGCAGTGACGGCTGCTTTGCTTGGTTTGGTCAGTTATTTGATTTTTTTCTTAAAATGTATGTACCTGACTGAGTCCTAAGAAGTACACAACCTAGTCAAAATTTAAAGTAAAGTGTGTAAGAACAAATGAAAGGGGAGACTGCATCCCAGGGCTCTTGCTCCCTAGAACATATTCAGTGCTATGAATGGGAAGCAAGTAAAAAAGTGTTGCCAACTGGCCTAGTTTCACTGGGAAACATCTACACATGCAATTTAATGTCCAGTAGCCTATTTTACTGTGCATTAAAGCATTGTGTAAAAAAACCTGTGCAATTACACTATTGTGCAGTAAAATAGGCTACTGCGCATTAAGCCTCACTTAAAAACCATGCAGGTTTGTTACTGAGCATTAAGGCAGCCTAATGCACAGTTCTTTAGTACCTCATACTGGAGGCACTACATTTAGTGCGCATTAGAAAAAGTACCTTAATGCACATGTAGATGCACCCACTGGGCACGTCTACACAAGACGCTTTACTCGAAATTGGAACAAATTGCTGTGCAGTAAGCATCACTGTCTACACATGCAGATGCTTAGTATGCAGTAATTTGCTCAAATTGTCAGTAAATTTGCTATCTGTAAATACAAGTAGCAAATTTATTCACGATTGGTTCTGCCCCATATGACACATATAGATGGCCAACAGGGAGAAAACTTGCTCCTGGTCAGCTGGGCAGCAGGGGGCAAGAGATTGCTCCCTACCCCAGAGAGCTGCCTGCTGCTGGGGCAGGTTCTGCCACTGGAGCCAAGGTGGGGACAATGTCCTTGTGCCCTGGCAGCAGGGAGCTCACAGCCCCTGCTCCCCGATTGCAGAACTAGGGGTGGGAGCTTATTCCCAGCCCCTGCTCCACAATTGCTGGCCGTGGGCTGGGAACAGTTTCCCAGCCTGTTCCCTGCTCCTGCTCCGCAATTGCAGAGCTGGGGATGGAAACAAGCTCCCCATCCTCCATCCCACCATCGTGGAGCAGGGCCTGGGAACAAGCTTCTCAGCCCCAGCCCGGTGATCACAATTATGATCACAGAGTGGGGGCTGGGAGCTCCCTGCATGGGGAGAACTCCCTACCCAGCCTGGAGCTGGATGGGACCTGCCCCTGACTCGGACAGTTCCTGGCCAGCTCTGGGCTGTGTGGTGAAGTCTGCATGTGCAGCGTGGAGGTGGCTGGGACTGTCCTATTTCCCCTCCCCTGCAGCTCTTTCCAGGCCCCCTGCCCTCAGTCAGGGAGCCGGGGCCAGGAGCTATACAACTGTGAGATTCTTGGCTTTCACTTTAGAAAGTTTCTAGTGGTCATGCTTATAGGTCAATTTTAACTTACAAATTCTCAAGGTTCTGAAACCGTAAGATGAATAAAACCCAACATTCGTATTTTAAAACTTCAGTTTTGAAGGGGCAGGGTATTAGGACAATTCTCAAGAGCTTCAGGGTGGCAAAGGGCAAGTATTTCTATGGAGAAGACCAAAGGAATAACTAATGCCTTAACTTCGCCTTATATAAAGAGCCCTAATAAGAAGCAAGTTCCTGCAGAGAAACGCAGCCAGCACTTGAATGACTGACAGGGGAGTGCACCAATGAGCTATCTTGCCAGAGATAGACTTCAACTCTCCATTTTGTTATAGCAGAGCAACTCCATCCATTTCAGCAGTGCTGTCCTGGTGGATATTTGGTAAAAGAGCAGAGAATTAAAGGCAAATTGAAAAAAAGTATTAGACTGGACAAGATTATGAGGAAAGGAGCAGAGAGGCACTCTTTCTGCTGGTGAAGACATGAGCTGTTTTGTATTTTAAAGCCAGAAGACTAACAGTGGCTGTTCTTTTTTTAATGCAGGTAGCTTTGCTAGTAGCAGCTGAGTTTTGGGAACAAGGAGACCTGGAAATAAGTGTACTTCAGCAACAACCTATTGTAAGTATCCCACAAGAAGCAGGAAACTTGGTCACACCTCTTAACAGACAGCACGCTGTGAGAGCAGGGGAGCGCTCCTTAATCACATATTATTTAAATAAGAGGGAATTTTTGGCTCTGCAGTAGCTGCCTTTGCTGCAGGCACTGGGAAAAAAAGAGAAACTATTACGGATGATGCCATAGAACTGTTAGGCCAAGAATGATGCCATAATGAGTTGTGGAGTGGAAACACGGGGCTTTTATGACTTGTTCTCCAAAGGAATCCATGTTCTTTTCCAGCCCATGATGGACAGAAGAAAGGCTGCTGAGCTACCAAAGCTTCAAGTTGGTTTCATTGACTTTGTGTGCACATTTGTATATAAGGTAAGCAATTAGCACTGTGAAGAACAATCAGTATCTTCCAAACTCAGCAATAATGTGGTTTTTAAAAATATATATTTACCCTGCAACAACCTTCCTCCTGATCCAGGAGATACAGTGAGTGCCTACAATGTTTTTATCATGGCCTTGGCTATGGGATGCAATAACTTGAAAACCAGGATAAGCATAGAATGTTTGCAGGGAACTGGCACACAAGGTTCCCTGGGTGAATCTGATATCTTTTATTAGACCAACCCAAATAGTTGGAGAATAGTTATTAAGCAAGCTTTTGGGTTCAAAAACCCTTCGTCAGGCTAAGGAAGTACAGGGAACTGGCACACTTTACAGTACCAGCATGCAACACATATGTCTGATCCAGCATTACCCACAGACTACATATTGCTGCTTATCAGCTATTAAATTAAGCTTATGTTCTGAAATGCAGGACCTCATCCTCAGCCCTGTTCTCACAACCTTTCACCACCCATCAGTGCAAAGCAGCTTAAAACCCATCTTAAATGACACTGAACACCCCAAGTCTGCCATGCCCAGTGTTTTTCATCTGCTGAAACAGCCCTTTGGGCAGCTGGTGTAACCCAGAACAGTCCCTTGAATTGATTGATCAGTTGTATGGAAATCCATTTGTATCTCTATGCCAGTGGTTCTCAAACTCTTTAAACTCAAGGCACCCCTTCAGAACTTTTCAAAATGCACTACATTAAAAAAATAAAATATATCAGGGATATTATAACATAAACACTATAATCCTACTATTAATGAATGTGTTAGAAATATGATATATGATATATTTCACCCCACAGCCACCACTGCTGAGTCTAGGACCCACGTGCCTCCATGCCACACGTCTCCTGTACAGTCAGAGTGGGAAGCAGCTGTAGCAGGAGCATGTGCTTTTAGAATCATAGAAAATTAGGGTTGGAAAGGACCTCAGGAGGTCAGCTAGTCCAACCCCCTGATCAAAGCAGGACCATCTCCAACTATATCATCCCAGCCAAGGCTTTGTCTAGCCGGGTCTTAAAAACCTCCAAGGAAGGAGAGTCCACCACCTCTCTGGGTAACCTGTTGCTTTACTACCCTCCTGGTGAGAACGTTTTTTCTGATATCTAACCTACAATTCTTGCTACAGCCCTTCCTGTTCCAACTCTGCAGGGTGCCCCCCAGAAACGGGGGCAGATGTCACTGTCCCACTAGCTATTTTCAGGAGGCACGTTGAGGCTGAACTGGGAAGAGCTGCAGCAGAAGCAGTGCACCTGCCTGCATAATGTAATGCAGGCAAGCCACTTGTCAGTGTGTCTCCAAGGTGCCTCTTGAATAGAGAGGTATGTGGGGCAATTTCACCGCATGGTATGGAACCTCTAGCAGGCTCTTGCAGCACCCTGGGGTGCAGTTGAGAACCACTGCTCTATACTAGTTGTGAACTGCACCAGGTCCAGAATAACCAGACCCTCAGCTTCAACCTATACAGCGGAATGACCTATATAGCAGAATAAGTAATGGGATGCTACTGAAGTCTAACACTGTAGAAATACTATAACCCTGAAAGTGAGTCCAGGTTTATCCAAAAACAAAACCCAGAGAACCCAGGTTAATGACCTGAAGTATAAATTTGTGTCAAAAGAAACGAGTAAAGCTCAAGGCTGTGGAATGAACTTCTATGAGGAGCAAGAAGTATCAAACATCACAATCTCTTGCACTGATGGCAAAATGGCAAGGCACGTTTCATTGGTGCCTCTCTTCACACACACGTTAAATAAAAAACTTTGTAGAGCAAGTTATGCTCCAGTCTCCTCCTGGCAAGAGAAAGTGAGCACCAAGGACAGTTACTCATGTTGCTTACTGTATTACTATTAGGTGCTCAGATACCACTGTAATGAATTTAGTATGGGAACCTGTATAGCATCATAGGATGACACCAGAATATCTAGATTAAGTTACTAAATAATGAATTTGCCTTAAGAATACAACAGTTCTGACACCTGCTCACAATCAATAAGGGCTTCACACTTGTATTACTTTGCTTTTTGTGAAATAGAGAATATGGTGATGATTTGAGGGCAAGGGCAGAAATCTCACCAACGTTGGAGGGGCATATCAGCTTCTTCCCTCCAATCCTCATCTCACTGGAACCCTGGGCACAGCTGGGGAAAAGAACTGGAAGCCATCACTCTTTCAACAAATTCGCAAATCGCAAATATTGTCACTTGTTTGGACACAGGT